ACCTAAAATTGAGTAAATCCAGCAGGCAGCATGATGGCAGACAGTACTGGAGGTGGGAGAGCAGGCATGAGTTTTCACTTGAGGCTGAGGAGGAGAAGGGCTGTTTATAGGTGCTGGAGAGATCACATACAAGGAGTTGAGCCTGAGGAAAGATGGGGAAAGGGAGGAGTCTCTCTAATTGTGGAAGGGTTTAACTAGGAGAAAGTCTGCCAAAATTTCATAACTGGACCAAATAGAAGGGAAAAAAGTGACATTTAACAGCAGATGTGCATGAGGGTTTTTTTTCTCTCCCTCTCTCTCCCCCTAATTGAAAACACCCCAATCACACTTTTGACAGTGGAAGTGTTAGAGAGAATGAAAAGGGTTTGTTTGATTGTCGTTAACTGCTAATATAATGCTCTATAGCACTGAAGACCAGTCTTCCAGTTTTAGTCTGAGAATATTGAGCTGCAAGAGGAGGAACACATGAATACCTACCCACATGGCTGCTGGCAGCTCGGTTGTGTTTTTGGTACTAACTTGCTGCTGGTTCCTCGATACCTGTGCCAAAGAGGAGCACTTTCCTAAGGACTGTAGGTGAATGGGAACAGTACTGTGGAAGTCTGCATCAGATGGGGAATTGGGTCTTACCTTAATATATAAACTGTTCTCTGATTAGCTGTTATCCCCTAAACAAATAAATCTCTCTCATGTAAATATTTCAATACCCAGCAGTAACTTAACAACTCCCTGTCTTTGTCCATGTTTACATTTAGCAGTTGAAGCATTACTAGCAACATAACCTAACTGTGTCCTGCCTTTTCTTTGGTAATTTTGGTAGTGATTTGAGGCTTTAAAAGGGAGAGAGACCTAGAAAGAGATTACCTGTGGATCTTTGGTAGAATTATGGAATGTGCTGTAACAGCTCTTTGTTCCTCAAAGGAACGCTGATATATGTATAGCATAATATAGTATAACTAATATTGCTGAATGGCTAATCGGGCAACCTGGGAAGCTTGCGGCTATCAGAAATCTGTTAGTATTGCTACTGCTCTACAGTGCTCAAAACAGCAACCATAAATGCTCTTACAACTATGTTAAGATCCATCTGCTGGAAACAATACCAAAGTCCAGTTTGTCTTCCCATTGATTTACTTGCTCCTTTCAATAGGTGCCAAAAATTAACATGTTTTCTTGAAGGTTTACTTCCCTTGCTTTATAAAGACCTTGTACTGTAGGCTTAGACTGGGCTTTTTCATGATGCTTAAATTTTTTTTTTTTAAAGCTAAGAAATTTAGCACTTCTAAAATAGAGCCCTTTGGATTTTTAAACTGTCAGGAAAAATGAGAAAAGCATAAGACAAAAATCCAATATTCAACATATTCAAGAGATAAGGCATGAAAGGCTAAACCAACTATTACTGCTGGCTTTAGGATTAAACAAAACCAGCAACAACAAAAAGCATCCTTCCAAAGACTCCTTTTGCACTTAGTCTGCCTTAAGTTTCTGTTTGGGAAAGGCTTCCAACTATTCATTTCCAGGTGTCGTATAGCTCCATGAATGCCAGTCGCTTTGTGCTCAGTTTTAGATGCGAAATGTGTTGATACGGTTTGAAATGGTGGACATTGAATCTTGGAATTGGTGAATACATATTCAGCTTTACAGTCTGCCTGGTGTCAACAAAGTCCCAAGCTCATCACTACTAACATATGTTTATTCTCTCAGTTTGAATTTTTTTAGGTACCAGTGCTATTTGAAAGGAAGCCTTAATTTTTTTTTAATAGTAACCACCTATGAGGGATTCTTATGAGAGGATGATTATTTGAGTAAGGGAATGAAATCTGACTTCAGAGCTTCTTGAAAAATGAGCTTTGTTCCTTGCTTATTTCCATTCTAATACAAGAGATATTTTAGCATACTTGAAGTAATGTAGTTGTTGCATAGAGACTTTTTCTAACGAATTGCCAACTTGTTACTTCACTGTAGAGGAATGTGATATTTCTAGTATTCCACTTCAGTGACTAGATTAAATAACAGATGAAAGCCTGTTACTTTGACATGATTGCTTGTGGTCTTTATAGTAATAGTTCACTAAATATCCTGCTTTTGTGCTTGTTTCCACTACTTTTCTTTACATATCATATCTTCCTGCTTCTGTCTTCAAAACCTTTGCATTTAATTCTGTGCTACTCCTTTCTTAGGGAATGGTACTTATAAAAATACTTTGTAAAACCATTGTTGTTAGTTGAGGTAACACCTAGAGTAGTTGCTTAATGATCTTGTGTCATGACTTCTCCCTGGAGCTGGGCTTTTGAAAAAAATGTATTTGAGTGCTTGAGTAATGATTTTAATGGAAGCCTTATAGGAAAGCACCGGGCAGTAGAAGAATTAAGAAAAGAGCAAAGGTCATCTGTTTGACGTGCTTCTGAAACTGGACATCCCAGAGCTTGCTGTGCTCGCTGAATGGGTTGGAGCTTACCACAGGTTTAGAGCACTGCTGTGTTCCAGTGTCTGCAGAGAAGCTGGGCTGGCTGCAAATCAGGTTTAGGGAACATGCTGTACAAGAACAGACCGCGCATTTTCACGTGCTTGCCTCAACCCCTCTTGAGGGAAAATCTCTGTGAAGAAAACAGGATTTCATTCCTCTATGTTCTGAACGGGATGGATGAGTCCAGCACAGTAGCAATCAAGCATGCTACCCTCATCTTGAAACAATAAAATGCAGCTGATAAGCTGCAGTTGTTCCTCTGGCTGCCTTTTGAAATGTAAAGCTTTAACTTATGAAGTCAAACAAACTTGAGCCTTAGTGTTTGTACAATGGCCCTTTTTGTTTGTTTGTTTGGGGTGTGGGGCTTGTTTGGGTTTTCCCCTTGTTTTGCTGAGAGGCTATTTAGGAAAGGATTCTCTGACTGGTTTGGATTAATTACTTCTCTGGCATGTTGATCCATTAATGAACCAAGGTTTTAGAAAACAAAGTGGAAAGTTTTAGAAAGCTGTCAGATTTGTTGTATGAAGTCTAGATGTCACAGATTTTTTTTTTATTCCCCAAACACACAAATGATTTCAGATTTGTTGTCTGGAGTGCTGTGTTTCAGAGGTGTTTTTTCAGTTAAGTGTGAGCCTGTGATTTATGGTATTCTTATAGCACGACAAAGGTTGGATGGTCTTTAGTGAGTTGAATATATTCAAGTGTCCATTGCAGTAACTTACAAAAAAAATTCTAAAATATGGCTGATAACTTTGTCTCAGAGATTTAATACCAGGCTACAGTAAAGCCATATACAGAATCAGTTCGGCATAGTAATGCCGAACAAGTAGTAAAAGCGTAACTCCAAAGAGAGGTCTGACATAAAGCGTGCTTAATAACTCATTGAAGCTTGTGCTATATTCAGTGACCAGTATTATATAATATCCTAATGTATGTTTAGTATATGTTGTATGTAGGGTTTCTCTTTTGTTACCGAGTTGATCTGAACTGAGGGAAATAGCTTGGACATACCTTCTGTTACTATTACTGTTCCTGTTTTTGCATACTTGAAACAGGATGTTTTCAGATGAGTTATCTAATCCTGTCACACCACCTACTGTTGAAAAGCAGACACTGGGAGTAAGTGTTTTGCCTAAATCTTCAGGTCATGCTTTCTTGGTCTTAGTGCAAATTGATGGCTTCTTCATTGTTGGTATTTAAGAGTGGAGATCCTGCAGCAAACCCGACGTTGAATACAGTGGAATTACTAGCTAATTTTGTAATATTTCAACGGTCTTTTCTATTTTGCCTAAGCTGTGTAAATGTGGTTTATAGCGACAAGAATAGAGGGGCGTTCCCTTTAAGTAAAGACTTGATTGCTCCAAGTCAAATCTGAAGCACTCTAGTAATTTCTTTTCAAGTAAGATAAACTATGTCTGTCGGACTTGAAAATGGCAATGACATCAGAGTTAGGATATTTTGTAAAATATCTCTTGTTATAATAAACAACAAAATATTTAAAAAAAATATGTGAGTCTATCTTCCATATCTCTATTTTTGGTTTTGTACAAGAATGAAAACATCTTTTCCATAGTTATTCAGAGGGCTGTATAAAGATCTGGATGTCAGAGCTGGGAGTCAACTCAGTGCTGGAAAGACAAGTCTGTGTGTACCTAACTAACTTCGGGCCATTGTAGTTTTAATCTGGGTGCACACTTTTCAGAAATAAGCTAAAAGCTTAATTTAACAAACTTCAAGTTTTCTTGCAGAAAGTGTGGTTGTTTTGTTAGTAGTATGAGAGTAAGCTCCTGTCTGAAGGTGGCACACCTGTCTCCTCTATAGATACTCTCTTCCTCTTGTTGAATTCTTGAAATTCTTGTTGAATTTGTATTCAACAAGCTCTAATGAAAACAGCAATTAATGCAAAAATGTGTCTGCACCAGTTGGCCATCAAGAACTTGGTTCTGGGGAGTGCTGTTTAACTAGTTCTGCAGAACTAGTCAGTTTTCAGTATATTATGTGAGTACAACACAATTTGATATTCTCATGCTGTGTTTGTCCTTGAAAGGGTATGATCTTGAGTGCTCTGTCAAATGGTGTGTGTGTATGGAGGCGGAATCTCTGTTTTGGGGGCAGGAACAAACAAAAGAATCTTTCTTAGATTGTCTTTGAGCTGGAGGTTAGTATTTTTATGGGATCGCCAGTACAGCTAACCCATAATACACAGAGGTAGGAGAATGCTAGAAAGACTTTTTGTACGTGCAAATGTCTGTCTTGAAGGCCAGTCTGTAAAGCTCTTGACTTGTTCCTGAGGTCAATATGCAGGTAAAACAGCGTTCTTTAAATCCTTGGAACTGTTTTTACAGCATTTTTTTTACCATGTCAATATGAGGTGGATTAAGCCTTTTTACATGTATGTAAAAATCTGGTACAAATGTATGTGTAAATCTCTTTACTTGTAGGCATATATGTAGAAGAAGCAATTGTTTAAGCTTCTTTCTAACTCCTTTTGTTCTTTTCTCTTCCCTCCTGCCCCCTCCTCCCCAATTGACAGGTGTAGGATCTTTGCCAAGAGAGAAGCAAGCCTCTGTGAAAAATTCTCCAGCCTCGTGGGCTAGCTCCGGTAAACCGCTCGCCAAATCCAAAGTGCCTGTCAAAAGATCAGTGCTTGAGAGAACACCTAGCCTCTCATCAGTCAGCAGCACTCAGAGTGAGCGAAGTCATTTCAGCAGTAATTGTAAGTATCCATCAGGGTTATGGGTTTTAACTGATAGCCAGCATCAACTGCTTGTTGGGGGGAGGGGAAAAAAAAAATCCCCTTGAAGGGAGTCCTGTCTGATAAAGGCCTGTGTTAATTCTCATTGTACCACTTATTATTAGTTTTAGGTCTTACTCTTTTTGCCTCTTAACTTACAACTTCCCTTCTTGAGAGTTGCCACCTGAAGGAGCTTTGAGCCTTGGGTTTTGGTTTGAGTAGAGGTTTCAGTACATCTCCTCTTCCATCCTGAAACATTACAAAACCAGAGGGTCGCCTTGAGCAAAAGTTTCCTTGTGTTTACATATAATAAGCATAAGTCTGAATGGTGTGAATGGATTACCTGTCATAATATTTGGAACAGCACGTTACAGGTTTTTGATACTAAATGCTCTTTTTGAACTAGATTGTATCTGCTTTCAGAGTTTTAAGACTAAATGTGTAGATGAGATCAAAAGCAGGTAGGTGAAACTGCTTTTAGAGGGTAAAACTTTGCACAGTTAGACTTCTGTAATTTCTAAGGTAACTATAAGCATTGGTGTATGACCTGGACTAAATCCATCTTGATTAAAACTAGGGAGGGATATAACAGAACTAGCTTTGATTTGAAGCTCTACAAAGGGTCTGTACCAGCAGTTGTGGGAGTTCTAGGGGCAAAAATATGAAGGAAATAACACACAACTGATTGTCAGACCTATCAGTATTCCCAGCTATACATATTCAAATGAGTACATTCAAATATTCTGTTACTATCATGTCATCTGTTATTTCTTGGAGACTGGGCAAAGGCCTTTCCTTTGTGCAAGATGTCATTTAAATCTGTCTTCAATGGATTGAAAGAGACATGTGATTTAATATATGTCTATAGTTTATGTATGCGCATATGTATGCATACATATAAAACTAAATTTTCTCTTGTTCTTTTTTTTCCCTGTAGTGCCTTCATTAAAAAAACTAAGAGCTAATATATTCCTCAAAGGAATAAGACCATGTGTAATAAAATATGCAGTGCATGTTCCTATGTTGTCAAGTCAGTTCAGTTACTGTGACAGCCATGTTGACTTTTGCTGTTCAGGTTTAGGGCTGTATCTGGAATTCCTAAGCAGCTTTGTCCTCTCTTCATTTTACTCCCTCATGTAACAAAGGAAAGGGTCGTTGCTTCGTAACAAAGAAGTGTATTCAGATTAAGTATCCAAACAGATGACTCCTTATTTAGCCTGATTTGCTAGTTGGTTTAATCTGTTTTGTCCACTGCCTTCAAGCTTACAATTTTTTCCACTCCGATTCACGGAGAGCAAGCAAGAGCAATATGAAAGGTTGGACATGGCTGCAGTCTTTTTGGCTTTAGGCTTGCTTTGATCCTTTTTAAATGACTATACCAGGAGGACTCCGCAGTTGCACAGAAACTAATTTTTCTCCTATTATTTTCATCAATTCTACGCTAACACCACCGACTGACTCAGGAAGCCACTATGATATTACCTTACTGACATTGCTGGTAGTGGGATCTTACAGCTTTTGTATTATTCCTTTGTTAGCCACGTTTACTGGGAGAAGAAGTAGGTTGTATTCCTTGTTATTTCTCTTTTTAAAGCATGTGTTTTGTTTTGTGGAGGTTGGTAAATGTATGCAATGTTTTTGACTTGCTGATTTTTTGTGAGATGATTTTTTTCTTTAGTTATTTTCCTATACTTGATGAGAATGATTTATGTCTGATGGTCAGGTTTTATGAGTATAATGAGTTTAGGTTACGTATAATTCATATGTTAGGAAAGTGAAGTTTTTATGACTTTAGTTCTTTCCAATTTGATTCAATGAATTTACTTTGTATTATAATATTAAGTACAGTGCTGTTCTTGTTTTTTATTCTCTTTTAGTTTACTATACAATAATATCAGTAAAAAAATCTATTTGTAAACATAACATGTTTTTATTAGATTGGTGGGACACAAAAAGATCAGGATGGGAGGCTTATGCTGTGAATGTCATGAAATTTATGACAAACTATTGTGGTCCTGTCAACAGTACTAAATTGACAAAGTCACTTGGCTTGTTTTGCTTAAGGAGTTTGCCTTGTGTTAGTGGAGAAAAATTACAAGAGAACATTTCTCTTCTGTGTCAGCTCAGCCCTTTGTTGTGGGATGTCCTTGGATTGGTAATTTCCTGTGGCAAAATTGGGGGGGGGTTGTCTAATGAGCTCTTGAGTTTTATGATTCTTTTCTCTAAAAAAGACAATATTTGAGAAGTTTGGAAATAATGAAGTTTGAAATGCTGCTGTTAATAAAAAATGTTTTGTGTGCAAGCTGTCAGTTTGAGCATTGAAAAAATGAATTTTTAGCAGTAGGGAAGTCTTAATTTCAGTGCTGAGCTGAAAATACTATCATTTGAACATACTGAAATGTTTAAACTCTGAGGTTAAGAACAAGAATCCAAATATGATTTGTGTTAGAATAATTGCATATAAAGGAAATGGTGTTTCAGAAGTTAAAAAGCTGACCCTAGCAACTGACCTGGAGCTGTGTTTCTGTACAGTCAGTACTTCACTAAAATTCTTTTAATGAGTTGTTTTTAAAGCCTTTAGATTTTAGCTCAGGTGAGATCACTTCATACCTGTCTGTCTTTCATCAAGACTTCAGTAGCTACTCCTAATTCTATGAATAACCATCTTTGCATAGTATAGTGACCAAACTTTGCAAATTTGCCTTTTTTTTCCTGCACACAGCCTGGTTAGCTGACTCCAGAGCTTCTAATAGGACAAAACAGAGCCCTAACTAGTCCCACACCAGAAGCGTACTCGCTTATGCAAAGTGGTACTTCCATGGTGTGCTTCTGATACAGAAGAAAGTAGCACAGCTATTTGTAGGCAGTTGTTAGCTGTTTGCAGTGAACTCTGAGCTTTTGCTTTATGGAAGAAGTTAAGGACTACTTCGGGCCTCATGCTGTACTAAAACAAATTGGTTGGAATCATCTGATGTTGATCAGGGTCAGATTCCTGCAGAGTAACTGTGTTATTGATGTGTTATGCAAATTGTTCCTCATGTACATATTTTTTGCAAATATTTAGCTTTTGTGCCTTTAGAGAGGCTCCAACTTTCTTTTTTTAAAATAGAGGAGGACTTCAGTTGCATATGTTTCTAAAAGTTCTGTCCCTCTTCCTGTGGTTGAAAATGTATTGATTAGTGGCCAAAAAGCATTTTTTGAAGCAGTTATTTTATATGGCTTATGCTAGTGCATTTAAAGACACTAAAATAATCTCAAGACTGTATGTTCTACCTTTCGGTGAACAGTTAGATATGTAGTTCACACTACCTTTAAAAACAAGTCAGCCTCATTGAAATGCTTATCTGAGGCAAACCTGATATTACATGATTCCCCCCCCCCTTTTTTTTTTTTCTTTAAATGACTAGAGAAAAAAGTAACAGTGTGACAAAGTATTCCAGTGTGACTGACTTTTTGCTTGTCTCTGGTAAATGCAATGTCAATTTCTTACTCTTTAATGGCAGTATACCTAATTTTTTAGTACCTGAACCAAAGTGTACTCAATCTATACTTACTTTAGAAGTGTTTTCATGTTTTTTTTTTTCTAGAAAAATAAAGCAATGCTTCCCCAAATTTCAGTTTTCTTTTTTTTCAGTAAAAATTTTCACTGTGACACTAAACCCAAACCTCTCAAGTTCCTTTGAGATGGAACAAAACGTCTTCTGTAGCAACTGCCCTGCTAGTTGGAAACCCGGTTTTGATGTGAGGTAGCAATTGCTTATTGTCCTGCTTTTCCCAGTTTGGATCTGTCTGCCCATTTTTGCAGGGAGTATTTTGCTGTATGACTTCATCTCTCTTGCGGGGGGCGGGGGTGGTCTTCTGAGGTCTGCTGTCACTGAGGAGGTCGCTCTTATGAACAGAGACTACAGGAACCTTTCTTAAAACTTGTTGGGTAGCCGGTGAATGCAGTTGGGCTCACATGTTTTTCTAGTGCCCCACAAGGAGGATGCAAGGAGTGCAGAGTCTGCTGATGGTGTGTGCACCATATCATTGAAAAGGCGTGCTCAGCTCAAAAGAGAGAGAACAGGTGTTGCAAGAGGAAGTTGTCCGAGTTTTATTTGTTTGTTATTTTTTTAACAGTCAATTCTGAGGCCCGTATGTCTTGGTGTGTTCATGATGCTTTTTCTTGGCTTAAACCGAAATGTGTTCTGCGTTTGATTTGTACAGCAAGATCAGATTTATAGTTACCTATCTTGACCAGTACACTTCTATATAGATCCCCCTCTTATGCATAGTTCAAAGCTGTCTGTCTGGTTCTGAGAAGTGTTTGTAACAGTCATAAACTGATCTGTTACAGTTCATCAGTTGGTCTGTACTGAAGATACCAGAGGTGGTCATAATATTTTTATTTCAACTTGTGTTTCTCCTAACTTTAGCCTTGGGTAAAACAGGCTTGGTTTAGAATTTAATTTTCCCCAAACTAGATATTGCCTAGAGCAAATTCTTTGTTCTGTGTTGCAGCTGCAAGTACCACAGTCATCATCAATAATGGAGAATGGCCTTCAAAACCAGCCTGCCAGAATGGTACTTCAGGATCTGTCCCTTTGAAAGCTGTACCAAGACCTAGATTACACTCATTGAAGTCAACTCCAAAAGGTATATAGGTCTGTTTGTAGATAGAGTGAAACTGTAGTTACTACTGTTACGGTACCTTACCTTTTGCAGGTGGCTGCCTCCTGAAGCAGTGTTTATTGAACAGTGGTCTTGGAAAATAGTGCGAGGAAGTAAAATCACATTAGTGGTGCTTCAGGAAGGCTGAAAATGTCCTTTCCATTGTTGTAATTGACTGGGGTATTTCAGGCAAATGAGGAGAAGGTCTGCACCGTGATATGGCTAAGGTTTGCATGGCACAGGGACTAAGTGCACTTTGCTATGTGGCAGGTGTCATCACGTGGGGTTTGTTGTTTTAATAAAAGTTCTTTTCTGGCACAAAGCTCAGGCACAGACTCTGTGGCTGCTGGTGATCTGCAAGGTAGACCTACTCTGAATTTATCCTGAGTGTATGGTTGTCCTCGTCCTCATGTAGACTTTGCATTATCTTCACCCCTTTCAGGACAGGAAGGATCTTGGGGGATGGGGATAATTTTTTTTTAATAAGGTAATATTAGATGAACTATCTTCTTTTGTAGATGAATGACATTGTCCTATCTTTCCAAGGGAAGAGTCTCAGAAACAGCTTAGCTCTTCTTCCTGCTTTTTATTGATATTCTTCTTACTGGCTGTAGTGGAAGCAGAGGCTTGCTTTAATTTTTAGCAGAGATAAGACAATTGTGCTTCATCATCTGGTGGTAAAGGAAACATTAATTTAAATGTACTCTCTGCTTCATATTAAACACTCTTTTGGTTCCTATTCCTGTCTGAGCCAGGATCCCTCAGTTGGCCAGCAGTGCTTCTCCACTCAAGCCACAAACAGCAGTTGACAACTCATTCTCTGGCCAAAATTAAAGGCATAATGGGAGCAGATAAACAAGCTTGCTGTCTCTCTGTCCTAAATCCCAGTTATATTCAGCTTGCTTCTGACCATCTTTGTGGTGAACTGGTTATTGTAATTGGATAAACCTAATTAAGTACTATGCTCCTGCTTTAGGATTAAGTTTTAAGCTGGTACCTGACATAATTGAGGATAAATAGAAGAGATGCCTGCCAAATGTCATGCTGTAATGACATGCTTTAAAATGGTAAACAGTGAATAGAAACAGAATTTGCAACAAACTGTAGATCACTTGGAAACAAACACAAATTATGTGGCTGTCTGACAAGCTGATGCTTTCTCTTGGGGTCCAACATATGTGACACAACTCTGCATTGCTCAACATATCCGGTGACCGGGGTGCTAGAAGTGTGCCTTCAGCACCTGCAGGAGCAGTGTGGCCAGAAGAAGCTGGTATTCCTCTCTTGGCTCAGTGTTAATTGGACTGCTCTGTTGTGTTTTGGGACCTTCCAAGTTCAAGAGGGTTGTTTTGAAACTGGAAAGGTCAACTGGAGACTTAGGCAGATGGTTAGGGTCTCTAACCACATGACCTGTGAGGAGAGGTTGAGGGAGTTGAGCGTGTGTAGTCAGGCAAAAAGGAGAGTAAGGGGAGTTACTGTAACAGTCTGCAATAACTTGAAAAGGACAGCTACAAATGTGACGGTGCCAAACTCTTCTCAGTAATACCAGATGATGCGGCAATGGGAAATGGTTGCAAATTGTGGAGTGGGAGATGCAGCATTGCTCAGCAGGGCCATAGAGCCTCCCTTCCTGGCGGTTTGCAAGGCTCAGCTAGACAAAGGCATGGTCAACTGATCTCATCTTGGTGGTGACCCTGCTCTGAGTGGGAGGCTGGATAGCTGGCTTCCAGAGGTGCCTTTCAGCCAATGTTTCCGTAGCTGTTTTGTATTTGCAGCTGTTTTGAGACTTAAGTAATTCAATTTTCATGCTAAAGTGAAATCTTTACTAACATTTTCTTCTGTTTATAAGCTTTATTAAAATTATCTTTTTATTTCTTCCAATGTGAGTTCTGGTAAAGCAAAGTTAAGTTTAAAAATGGCTTAAATTTTCTAGGTGTCTCTGTGTTTGATTAGATTTGTGCATCCTGTACTTAAATGTAAATATGTAAAGTTAGGCATGTCTTTAATTGCTGATATAGTTCTACTCTTAAACCTAATCTAAACTTCTACTTCTAGGAGCCAAGGCCAGGTCTGCTTCACTGAACCAGTGCATACCAAAATCATCTGGGCCACTGCACTCAGCAAGGAAAGTCAGTGAGTCTAGAGGTAATCAACTGTTGGGTAAAGTAAATTTTTCCAGTTATATTCTTGAGTCCCTGTGTCTTGAGAGAGCAGATATGCTTTGTGACTTCAGAGTAATTGAGATTGTCAGTCTGCTCTTTCTCCTTGTAGTTCATAGTTTTGGAGACTGGCTGAGGTGAGGGAAACAAGTATGGTAATGGTATAAAGCAGACTGTTTCCTATCGAAATACCTGCTGTAGGATCTCACAATGTTTGTAAAGCCTGAAGAAAGCTGATAGGTGTTGTCAACAGACCTTTAAAATTCTGCACGTGACTTTTGCACTTACACCTAGTACTTCCAAAGAGTGCTTTCACTGAATTCATATCCTTCAAAATAATGAGGTTCTTAAGCCAGTTTTCACATGACTCTAAAACAATACAGTAAGGGTAGATAAACCTTCTCAGTGCTTTCATTTAGGTCTAACTTGATTGGTAGAATATTTGAGAGTGCTGTTAATTTATACCTCCTTTTATACAAATAAAATAACTGGAGCATATAGGTAAGGAAAAAGTTACTATGATGCTGGTGTAGAGAATTGGGTTTTATTACCTGTAGTCCGCTATGAATGAGTAAAATGAAACAGTGCAACCTGGCTTAAATGAACTCTGATAATTGTAATGGAAAAAAATGTTTGGCTTACTGGGAATTCGTCATCCATTTTCCAAATAGTTTAATGTTATAATGCTAAATCTTGCTGTTGAACATGCAATCAGCCATCACAAGAAAGAAAATGAAATTATGTAGTTTGAGGAGCTTATGTGGAAAGAATCTTAAAAAAAAAACACCCCACCCCCACTGCCCCTTGCTAGCTTGAAGTGTAATTCTCTCTTGGTTTTTTTTTTACTTGCTCTTTGCCTTTTTTTTTGTCTGAACATCGTAGGTAGTCCTGGAAGAAATGGACACCAAAGCCTATCTTGTTTGGGTTCTGGTGAGTTTTCTGAATGCATTTTTACATTTACTGCGGTGCAATTTAAACCAGGTTTATACATTATATTAGTATATTGCTTCTTTTCTTGGAAAAACAGTTTTGCAACAGATAATTCCTTAAGCCATCACTGATTCCAGTTTCAAGGGATATGGAGAAAAGTCTTGGGGTTTTTTTTCCTACTTACTGTCTTCTGGCTACCCAGCTCTTAGAATATGCAGTCTGTGCTATCTGTCACTCTCTGTTTCCAGTGAAGTGTAAGGAGGTTTTAACTGTAACAAAAAAAAGTATGGCAATGAAACTTGGATGTAGTTTTTGCTGTTTAGCCACAGTGAGGTAAGTAATGATTAAAGCTTATGTGTTGTGGTTTTTAAATAAAGTAAATAGAAGAATCATGCAGAATAACAGGTTTTTCTGGAAGGTTCATGGTAGATACCCTTATGGTGTCAGCTGTCTCTGTGTATTGCTGCAGAGTACACTTGAATATGAAGTTGAAATTATCTGAGTGTGGTGTTGTGTGTGTCTGCTTGTATGGCAGGGGGAGGAATGGCAGCTGATTAGGTGGCAGATGGCATTCCAAAATCTGGCAGAGTTTTAATGACTTCATATTGGGTTTGTTTTTAGTGTTTATGCCAGTCAGGACACCTGGTGCTAGTTTCTATCTGCCAGGAGACAGAAAAGTCTTCAGATGAAGTTTCTGCTTGCAGCAATTTCCAGGTCTTTTCAAGAGAGTTGGCAGTCTAAATTAGTTTCCCAAGCATCAGTGTGTATTTGCTGAATTAAAAGGTGCTTGTAATTAATTACTCATTGAAAAGCCCTTTTTGAAAGCTACTGAAGATCACTGGAAAGCCCTGTGTCCCCTGAGTGAATAGCAGATGTCTTTCTGAAAGAGGTGCTGTAGCCAAGCAGATGTTATAGATTTGAGTCTGGAATTACTGGGTAAATCAGTTCTGACTTGTAATGCTGGTACTGTGGCAGTATGTTTTTAATTTCCTGTAGTCATAACATTGACTCTAATGCTTTTGCCTTTTACTTTCTTGGGTGTCAAATGTCTGCATATTAATTGTGACCAAGTACCTTGCTTGACATCTCCTGTAAAGAGTCAGTGCTTCTGTCACACAGCAAGTGTAAGACTTTGCACAAAGTGCTTACTCTGATTGTTGCTCTTATTGATAACTGGCTAAACTAATGTTTATTTAGGTATAGCCTGATGCTGAGTTTCATGAGCTCATATGTGGTCCTTTCATGTAGGAGTGCAGAGGATGCAGCTAGCAATATAATGCCTTGATTAGCTCAGTTGAGGAAACTCAGGATAAGCAAGAAAGTCCATTTCTGGACTAGAAACAATTCCTCTTTCACTTGCTTATGATAGTCTTAAAATATAATATTATTTTTCCCTAAATTTAGCATGGCACTTTCTCTGTATTTTCCATGCAGAAAAGTAGTTCGTTCTCCATCCCCTTTTTACTAGCTTAATATAATTTTTCTCGTGATTCATCTTTTCCAACCTAATAAAGAATGTAGCCACGTAGCCTTGAAGTATTATATTTGATGCTGTGAAAACACAGCTATGAACTCCAAATTGGCTGTAATATTTAGTGATTCTTTGGTTAAATGCTTTTTAGCATCATACTTTTGCCAGCTGAATAGCTGTATTTCAGTGTTTGTCTTAATAAACTTGAACTGTTTCCTGTACTGAGTCAGCTTCCAAAATTGGATATGTTAGAAATGTATTAACTTGAAAGTCTAACTTACACAGAGCATTAGTATAATTTCCCATTTATGCATGCAAAGCTTTCTGATGGAGTATTTTGCTTTTTTTAAGAAAGACTTTTTTTTTTTGTTTCCATCTTCACAGTTGCAGATAAGTTCTTACAGCAGAATAAAAATACTGTGTGGCTGCTTGGATGTTCCGCGGTACAATGTCTTACATTTTCAGAAAAGACAAATGATCTTTTTTGAAACGAACTGAAATAATGCCAGCTGGTACCATGTAGAATGGGGCCTGCTATTTTTTTTTTTCCCCAGTGGCCTTGGTATTATAGTGAAGCTTTGTTCTAGTGATTTTTAGCTGACTTAAAGCTTTTGTTCTTTTATTTCAGTGCCATAGTTAAGTCTACAGTTTTTAGCCTCATTGAGTGAGGAGGTCCAGCCTCACTTCTGTTTCTTGACCATGTGCTCTGTCTGAAGAGTCAGGGCTAGTTTCTTGAGGCAGGACTATGGTCATAAATTGCTTACCATACTAATGCATTAATTAAGTATCTAGCTTAGTTGTTAATGTTGCTTTTAGCATTACTTCAAGGATGGAAAAAAAATCAGGCATTTCTAGGACATGATCTCTTGTTCTCTAACTGTGCTCTTTATCCCTTTTCCATTCATTTACAGCAGTGATGCAAAGCCAGACACAACATACTGTTAGTATGCCTGTAGAATTGGAGAGACTTAGGTATTTGCAGCTGTTCATTCCTTGTTTGTGTTAAAACATTTACAAGGCTCCTTTTTGTCAATTCTGTGTTTTTCATGGGTGATATTCCATGGATCAAATAATTTCTACAAGTTCTGTGGTGTATTGCTTCAGCACTGGCTTTACTACTTAGGCAAATTTACCTTCTTAGGCATAATATGTTTTATTACACTTCTTAACTTGCTAACCTAAAGTAAGAATGTACTTGTGCACTTACTGTAATGTCTTAATGTAAATATGACTAAAGATGTTGCCTCTTGTGAGATGGAATTTTGAATTAGATGCAAAACTGCCTCTAAAAATGCATAAAGTGAGTGCTCTCTCCTTTGTTTCTCCATCCCTCCCTGTAGAAACAGTGACCTACTTCTGTGTGCAGTATATTACAATGCAGTGTGTATATGCAGTGGATAGTCAAGTCTCATGTCTCCATTATTGACTGAAGGTTAAGGTTAAGTTACAATACAATAATCCCTGGCACTATGTCAGCCAAGCAGAAGCAAATATCCTTTTTAGCAGTTCCAAAGGTAAAGCTATCATTTCAGGAATAAAGCATGCAAATATTGTGAAGCTTTTCCTGTTGTTCAGTGACCCTGAAAGGGATGTATGGTGTATTATGGATAACAAGTTACACTTATCCTTGTGTGACACACCACTGTTGTCAGGAAAGCTAGGGCAACTGCTGGATATACCCATAAAGTATTATCAAGTAAGAACAGTATGATTCATGTGATCTCTCTTTGTACTATGATGGAGCATACATAGTGGAGTCTGTTACAAAAGGCTACAGAAGCCATGAAAATCAAAGAAGCTTCATCCAAAACCAGCACATGCTCTACCATGAAAGATGGTATTCTGTTGTCTTAGCCTTTTCAAGAGGTTAAAAGGCAGCTTGTTTTAATCATCTGTGAGAAAAATATAACACTGGGGGAGGGAATAACTTCAGTCAGGTGGCTTATTGCAAAAGTCAGTAGTAGTGCTGATCAAGCTCAAATGGGAAAAAAAGTATAAATGTAACAGTCCATGAAGCTGTCTCTTGGAATAGGTTGTTAAAGGTGGATGCTGGCTTCTCACTCACATGTATGTTGAGGTAGGATGCTTTTACTAACACAATACTCTGGTTCAAGCCAAAGTTTATGGAGGCATACCTTAAGGTATAGTTAACACCCCTTTCTTACATGCCCTCAGTCATCACTGTTGAAAATCAGGGGAAACATAGGGTGAACATCTCTTCTTATGTTGTAGATTCCCTGAGAGAATAGGTTGCCCTCAAAATACTGGCACTTTAAATGTCTGGAAAACAAGGGATTAATGTACATTTCACTGTGCTTACGCTTTTTTAACAACAACAAAAAATCATTAATGTTTTAAGAGCTGTCATGATACTATATGAAAATGTGTAAACTTCCTTTAAAAATTGGTAAGATTATAATTCTGAGAGCTGATGAACATATTTATTAATGTCAAGTACTTAGGTCTTCAGTGAATTCCTTCATCTAGTTGACCATCAGTAGTCTTCAGCATGGTATGGCCAGCTACCCTACTGATGAGGGACATTGGTCAAGTGGCTTATTAGCTCTGTTTCTCCTTTCATATATGCTGAAAAGGTTGGGTTTTTTTTTGGGGGGGAGCGGGGCCGTGGGCTGTTGTTTGTAAAAGTTTTTTTGCAAGCTGTAGAAGAAACTGTGCAAGCAGTGTTCTTGTTGCATGGAGACTTGAAAAGATCCTCATGTATATGTGAACACAAGTGTTCATACGGTTGGTCATAGAGCAGGTAGGATTGGGGAACTTGCCTGAGTTAAAAACAAGGCAGGATGGATAGTCCTTTTGGTGGCAGTTCAGGCATAGATCGTGGTGCTGGCAACACACAGAAAACTGAGCAAACTGCTTCTGTCTCAGCACTTGGCACTCTTTTTTGATGTCTTTATCTTAGTATTCCCTTTTAATACACTTTTCCTGATGTATAACATAAATGTTGTTACTAGGATTGTTACTAGAGAATACAGACAGATACTATTTGTTTTTCTTGAGTACCAAACTTTGCAGGTGCAAGGTTAAGTGTAAAATTAACTTTCTTCAGTTCAGGAGAATGTCTATTCATAAAAAAAAAAAATCCCAGAGGTCTTAAACTCTTTTTTAAAAAAAAGAGATAAAGTCCCCTCAACCCCCACTACCAGTTCAGATGCAGAGTATATGTTGCAGAGCTCTACATGACAGTTGTCAAACAAACTGTATTTCAGTATCATCTAAACAGAAATTTTGTTTCATGTATCCATTTACTGTAGAACATTTTTTAAAAAAAATCTGTGGAAATTTTCCATGAAGTAAAACTTGTGTAATTGAACCAACTGTGCTTTTCTTTCAGCATCTTCTAATACTGTACTCTGCAGCTTGTGGGAAATAAGTTCCCTTAAGGATCATACAGGAAACAGTTTGATAGGTAAAGTCTTTTACATTTTAACACTTTAAAGCTCTTAACTAGCTTATTCCAGTGCAGAACAGGAATCTTCTGCAGTGAAGTTAAAACCAGGAGGAAGACTGT